TGCCCAGTGGTCAGAGCCCGCATGGGCATGCCACCAGGTCAGGTGAGCCAGTCGTGTGGGATGAGCATGTCCTGAGTGCTGGTTTTGATAAAGGCATGTATGAAAATCGGTGTCTGGAATACATCTCTGGGTCCGTGAGTCTCACTTATTCTTGGTGCAGAGTCCCTAAAATTCTTTTTCCCTGCATAGCTGCCCCTCTACAGCCTCACCTCCGCTGGCAGCACCCTCTGCATGTTCATCTCAACGTTACCTGAAAGGATGGCAAGCCTTGTGTCCTTGCTGTCCCTGTGCCACTGAGAGCCAGCTGCCCACTGCTCAGCACAGCAGCATTGCCACCAGCCCTTCACATGGAGCGGTCACCCACCCTCATCACAGAGCCTGGGAGGCTGGGCTGTGGGCATCTCACCTCTGGAGGGGACTATGGGCCTTGCATGGGAGAGTGCTGTTCCTCTCTGACAAAGGCAGAGCTGTATTCCGCATTTATTCCATCCTCACAAGATGTGGGAAATTCGCAGGCCTTGTTTGTTTGAAAGAATCAAAACCTAAGTGGAATCCGATAACTGAACATGGAGGGTTATGGAAGATACGGCCTTTCTGGCTGCATTCAGCAAGCCTGTGCCCTTGAGTGCCTGCCTGTATGCTTTCAAGGAGTGTGTCCTGTGCTGGTGAAGTCTCAGCATATGTGAGCTTCTTCACGCCCTTACAGGAATGAAGGACACTCCTATCCCACTGAGAGTCCTGACCCCAGGCTGCCGTGGGTGTCCAAGTGGATATTCAGAACAGCAGTGTGCCCACATGGCACCCGCTGTGCCTGCTACTGTTGCTCTTCAGGACCCCTGAAGGCTAAGCATTTGACTCCTAGCTCTGCCTGCAGACACAAGGTGTGAGCAGTTTTTCCAACAGCAGGACAGTGTGATTTTTGGAGGTGGGATGCTGGCTGGGGTCTGCTGGGAACCATGGGTGGCACCAGACCACCCACATTCTTCTGGGTGGGCAGTATTCATCCTGACACTGGGGCCAGCCCTTTCCTGGCCACTCAGTGGAGAATGCCCGCATACAGGCCTGGACAGGCAGCACCCGGCAAAGAGCCCAGCCGCCCCACCAAAGGCCAGTGTCTGCTTCCTGCCCAGGAGTCTGGCTTCTGAGTGCCAGCTGAGGAAAGGGACCCGGAGGGAGCTTGGGAGGCTCCTACAGCATGCCCACTCATCTTAGGATTATACTCCATCCAGGGGGTCATCGTTAGTGAGGGAATTCCACAGCAGCAGAATTCCTTGATTCTAGGTCATATCGGTGGGCAGAAGCCAAGGACGTATTCCTGGGTTGCTCATGAGACCAGAGCATCTCACATTCCCATCCTCCTTTCGTGTCTGTACAGTGCACATTCCAGCTGCTTCCTGTAACCTGCACACCCCAAAATAGCCCAAATATCTGTCAGGAAGAGGCTGGTGGGCAAGGCCCCCTCTGTTCAAAAGAATGGACCAACATCCAGGCACATATATCTGGGGCACCGCAGCCCAGCTGCCCACACCCCCAAGCCAAGGGGAAACTAGAGAAACAGCCACCTCTGCTCATGCCTCTTCCTCATTGTGATAGGCAGAGTTATAGCCCCCCAAAAGAGAAGTCAAGGCCTGTCACGGTATCTTAGTGTAACTGGAAACAGGGTGGTACCTGATGGGGATAGGTCAAGGTGAGAGGAAGTCACGTGGGTGAAGGGCAGAGGCCTCTTGAAGCCACTGGAGCCAGGAAGAGCCCAGAGAGGACCCCTCTCCCGCTACTGCACTGCCACCAGGCCTGCAGGAGTGACCTGGGAGCCCCCAGTCTGTGGTTCTGGTTCACCCACATTCACTATTATATCTTCTTTGAGGTGGCTGTGAATTTACCACTTACACGTCTCTTATAATCAGTGTCTGTGGACTCTGCTATGCAACTTTTATTAATAAAATTCTAAAATTTAAAAGTGCGTCTGACACCTAGATCTTATATCTGACATGCTGCAGGCTCCACCACCCATACCCCTGCCTCTGTACCATCCTCATCTCAACCTGCAAGGACCTTGTTGGCCACCAGGCTCTGAACGCCGATATTCCTGGCATCTCAGCCTGTGCCCAGCCACTCTGGTGCCTCGGGTGCCACCTCCTCCCACTCAGGCCCAGTGGATGCTGTTCCAGCTGCCCATGGCCCAGTCACTGCCCAGATACAGACCCCTCTTTGGCATCTGAGAGAATCTGACAGGCATCCTCTGAAGGGGGATGCTAGCGCCCAGCGCTCACTCTGCCCAGTACCTTGGACTGCTTCACAGCTGTGCCATACAACATGCTCCCTCCAGCCAGGGATACTTCACAACAGGGTGGAAACACCACACATAGATCATGTTGGTGTTCATGCAGAACATCTGCTCCTTAAGTCCTCATTTATAAACAGAGTTTGCACTCAAAATGCCTTGAAATGTTTTTAATAGAATTGGTCAAGCAGTTGGTTATTGCATGGTGTTCGTGACAGGCTCCCTGCTTGGCACAGTAGGAGGGGTGTTTTAAGGCACATCATCCTGTGATCAGAGGTACACAAAGGTTTGATTACATTCACAACATTGACATACAGTTTTCACCACTCAGAAAATACACTTCCAGTTTTGACAAAATTCTTTTAACAAGATCAGTAATATACAGAATATTGAACACCATAACAAAATTTTCAATAAAATGCAGGTAAGAAAAAGAAATTTCCTAAATTTTTGTACTTCATAGTACCACAAAATAGAAGTTCTTTATTAAATAAATAATGTTATAACAACAGTTTTCCTAAGGAAATACATCCACGGGACTTTGCCTTCTGCTTTAAAACAGTGGAGAGGAATGGCAGGATTCCTATCTATGATTTGCAGCCACAGTGCCGGTCACAGCATGGGGGCATCTGAGCACACATGGTGAGCTTCTGGTAGCAACCCCTTCTTGCCTGGAGTCTGGCTCCATCATGATTGTGTCCTGCTGTGCTGATCACACAAGCTGAGCAACATGGTGGACCTTGGTAGATGGAGTGTCAAGGAGGTGTCGGGCAGGCTCACACCCTGGCTGCTGGCTTTGGTATTGGTCCAGTGCACGGCCGCGGGGTGCCATCTGAGCTGCTGGTCTGGCTTGGCTTCTGACTCTGCCATGGCGATCAGTCCCCATGCCCAGCAGTCCAGGGGTGTTAAGGCAGCTTCATCAGAGGGCAGGCGCAGGGGGCTTGGCTGCAGGGGTATAGTGGGTGCTGATGGGCTTTTCTCAGAGAACCCTTGGGTGGCCCCGTTTGCCCCCAACAAGCACCAACAGTGCTGTCTGGTGGGATCACTGCTGGGCCAGCTATGCTGTGCCCTGCAGAACTTGGCCTCAGAGTGGATAAAGATGGCTGCAAGCCAGACACTTGCCCCGACCAATGAGAATGGGCTAGGGATTAAGTGATGAGCTGATGTTTCCATCACAGAAAGCTGCTCGAGGAGAAGTCATGGAGGCTTGAACAAACTGGCATTGTCTTCATCTGTTTCTCCAAACAGTAAAGCTGTCAATAAGAAATGGTATGTTTTCCTGCCTAAGACCTGATGTGCAGTGACAGTGCACACTGCTGCTGACCTCCTGGACTCGTGAATGTCCACTTCTATCCTGAGACATGGGCTTTTAGTTTTCCTGAGCAGAAAGCCGAGTGGTTTCAGGAAAGCTTCAGGGGTGGGTTGTGGCTGAGTCCACTTTAGTCCCTCTGGTCTTCCTCAAGTGAGACCTGCACTGCAGCCTGAAGGGGGGGTGGGGCAGAAGGAAACACAGACGCTGCTCAGGTTCTGTGGAATGGAAGCAGCATTCCTCTCACCACACCAGGAACAGGGCTCTGTCCTGAGCCCTGGAGAGATGGAAGGAGTTCAGGACAGGCACAGGATGTCCAACCAAGCCCTCCTTGGAGCCACCCATGGCCCTGAGTGCTCTTCTGCCACTGTGTCAAGTGGGGCACAACTAGCTCTGATTCTGAACAAAGGGTGCCTCTGAGGCTCCTCTATGCCCCAGCCCGGCCAGGCCATCTGCAGCCACCCCAGCAAAAGAAGGAACAGCTCAAGTCAGAGGTCTTTCTGCTGAGACAGGACAGTCCTAAGGGAGCTTCAGTGGGGGAGGACAGGACAAAGGCTGGACTGGAGGAGCCCAAACGCAAAAGCAAACAAAGATATTCCTGTGATGGCATCTACAGGCCATGTGGCCACCGGGAAGTCTGGAGACCTGGCAAATGGATATGAAGGGGTCAGAGGGGCTTGGGCCCCCACCCTGGGACTGGGAGATCACTGAGGGTGGTGAGAACCAGCTGGGGGCGGAGGCGGGCGGAACTGGTCAGGGCCTATCACTTGGGCAGATCTTTTGTTCGTGACCTAGTGGCCTGGCGTGATGAAGACGGTCACAGGCCTCTGAGGCTTTCCTGTCCCTGAGTCACGGTGACAACGAAAGATCAACATAGAAGTGCCGCTCGGCTGGAAGCGGCAAGCGGGCAGCAGCCCCAAATGGAGCACCTGCCAGACCTCCCGACTGGAGGCCAGGTCTGCACCTGGGCGAGGTGGGTGTAGGCGCCTCGAGGCGCCAGGCTGGCAGGGCGGGGAGACCCTGGGGGCCAGGCCACCCTCGGGGAGGCCGGGGCGGCGGTCTGGGTTACAGCGGCGTCTCCTCCTGCTCAAGCGCGTGCGGCGGCAACTCGGCGGGGCCAGGAGGCTGCAGCGATGCGAGCTTGAGCAACGCAGGGCGGCGGCGTGTGCGGGGCCGCTGGAACGAGCGCCGGCTGTGCACACGGCGCGCTGCCGCTGACCGCGCGTGCGCGCTGGGCAACGCCCTGCGCTCCGGCCCCGCCCCCTGCGTGGGACCCGCCCCTGGCTCGCGGGCGGAGAGCGCTGCGGCCACCGACTCAGTGTTCTCGGGCGGCGCGGGGCTTGCAGCGCGCGGCCGCGGGAGCCGCGCCGGCAACTGGGGCTGCTGGGCAGTGGCGGGCGACCCCCGGCGCGGAGACGAGTGTCCTATCAGCGGCGTGTCGGAGCCAGTGTCACCTGCAGGAGGACAAGGAGGCGTAAGCTGCTACTGGGCACCCGTGGCCCCTGGCCCAGATAGTCATGCCTTCTGCCCAATGTTCCTTTCCCCTTGACTTTTCTGTTCCTGAGGTGCCACCCCAGGGCTTGTTCAAAAGAAGGTGCAGAGGGTAGCACCCCCCCATCCCCGCCATGGGCAAGGAGGAGCATTTGACCGCTGTTCCAGCTGACTGCTGGGGCCCTTTCACTCCATGCTGTCCCCTAAAAAGTAAGCAGGGGGTTAGGGGATACTAGCCACCAATAAGCATCCCTGGGCCAGGACGGCTGGACCACTTGGAATGTTCTGTGACAATTTGAGGCCATGCCCTTGATAGGTTCCCCTTCTACAGAGGGACATCTAGCATCACGCCCACCCCCTGCAGCTGCTCTGCTCAGGAAACTTGGCCAGAAGCTTCTCTGAGTACCTTGCTCTAAGGACAAATGGGATTCCAGGTTAACCGGGGGGGGGGGGGGGAAGCAGAAGGTTCAGAGGCAAAAGCAAGGAGCAGGGGAGGGACAGCAGGTGGGACCACCCATGCCTGGTGTCACTGCTATGCCTGTTTCTAGTCTCAGTGGAAGCCCACTTATTGCATGAGTCCAATACCCATTCCTGAAGCAGGGCCCACCGGAGGAACCCCAGCAGTGAGGGTGTGGGACAGAACTCTTGCAGAGGTACCGGGTAGACTGGTAAAACCCTCTGCAAGTGTCCACCAGAGAAAACACTTCCTCTTTGTTTGACAGGGAGCTGAAACCTGGTCTGGGCCAGACCCACCCACTATAACAGTTCTACCTGCCTGTCAGGCACCCCAAGGAAAGTTGGAATACCTCAAGACACTGCCCAGGGGGGGTATCACCCTGTTCACTGCAGACAGTAATGGGCAACAGTGAGAGGGCTCTTGGCGTATCTGTTCATCAGTCACCTTGCTCCCCACCCAGCATCAAGGGCACCCCACCTCCTGCAAGATAAGGCCCACAAGGCTGCTGTTAGCCAGATGGTGGGCAGAACCCCCTGGCTGCTGGTCAGCCCTCACAGGGTTCCCTCCTAAACCCTGCGCCTGCACCCCTCTATAGGAGGTGGGAGAGGCCCACTGCCTCTCTCCTGGATGAGCTGGCAGCTGGATGCTTCCCCAGCTGTGGGCCTTTGGATCACACACAGGCCTGGTCAGCTCAGGAGTGAGATTCAGGGCTGATCATGCAGATACAGTTTATGATCCAACTGACAGTCTAAAAGTAAATTCTCACAAGACAGCATGACAACATAAATCCAAACAATCCTCACACCCTCTGGATCCCTAAATCTTAGCTGGAGAAGCAGAGAATCAGGTGAGTATTGTTCATCAGCATCTCCTAAGAAATGTGCAGTGAGTCAGACTCCCGTAGGGACAGGCTCTAGAGAAGGAAGAAAACTGCAGGAGAGAGCTTGTGAAAGTGCAGGTCCAGGAGAGAGACCTGGAGGAAACAGCTGAGAACAGAGAGGGTGTTAGGAGCCAGGGTGACAGTTACATGTGTGTGGACTCGGGGAGGGCAGCGTGGGGCCGTTCCTCAGTGCCATCAGCCAGCAGGAAGGAGTCCACTGACTTGTTGCTGAGGCGTAAGGGTGTCAGGCGCCGGAAGTTGCCAGGAGAGTGGGGGATCTGTACTCGGGCCCTCTGGGAGGGTACCACAGTCTCGCCAGGGGACAGCCAGGGCGGCACCCTGGCCAGGATGCTGGGGTCCGGGTCCTCCTCGGGGGAGAACACAGGGTTGTCGATTCCTAGGAAAAAGGGCAGCAGCTGATCAGCCTCCCAGGAGCACCCCCATCGGCAGCAGGGGGAAGGCACTGCCTGGTGCAGCCGCCAGCTCGTCCTGTGGCAGCCACCTGCAAGGTCACCTGGAAGGTCAGTCCTTTTAGCCTGCAGCTCTCACACCAGGCCTTCCCTGCACACTATAAACCCACACACTATAAGCAGGTGAGCCTGCCTTCTGCCCTGGGGAGGGTCCTTTGGATAGAGGGGCCATGCTGGGAGCCTGTGCATGGGCCTCCAGGAGCAGCCAAGCCTCCCAAGGCAGGGGGTTCCTCCTCCACTGACAGAACTCACTTCACCCCGCCGTAGTCCCTCTCTCACCTGCTTGGGAGTCAGAGGCCGTATCCTTTGTGACGCTGGCCAGGAATTCGATGCCCCCACTGGTCTCCTCTGCTTCATAGTCAGGGGCCTCCTCAGGGTCTGAAAGTTCCAAATCTAGGGGGCAGGGGGCAAGAAGAGGGTAAAGGTGGCCTGTGTCCCCTGTGGGTTGTCATTGAGGCTCAGGGATGGCTGGGCATCCCAGTGGCCAGGTAACTGTGCAAAGGAAGAATCATCTCTGTTGCCCCCTCTCATGACCCCAACCCCACCTGGACTTCTGAAAATCTCATTGGAGAGGGGCTGGAACCTCACGGTTGGCAGCAGGGAGGGATGGGGCCCGGGTCTGATGGTCTCGGAAGGAGAGGGAAGGAGTGCCAGGCCTGGCAGCAGCCTCCCAGCCCAGGGGACTGCTAGGGTTGCAGTGGGGGTGAAGCGCCAGGGGAGTGGGGGCAACGGGGCGGGGGCAGGATCTCGGGAGACAGCCCCGGCACACATCCTGTGTGTGACAGGCAGGCACCGCGGAGCAGCCATACCTTTCTCCTTGATGGTGAAGCTGTGCACTGGGCTCTCCATGGGCAGCTTCCCATTGGGGATGCTGCTGTTCCTCTGTGGACAAGCACAGGGCCTTACATTCGCAACCCGTGTTCAGGCCCAAGCCTGCCAGGACCGTCTCCCTCCGAGGAGGTTCCGAGGGTCTCCGCCCAGGGGCCATTCGGTGCTGCTGCGCCCACTGACCCGGCCCGGGCGACCGACCTTCATCCCAAGATCCATGGCCCTCCAGCCTTGGATCGGACCCCCAGACACCCGTCACCCGCTGCGGGTCCCGCCTCTCCCGCCGGCCCCGCCCCCTGGCTCGGCCCCGCCCACAGCCGGCCCCGCCCCTCACCCGCTTCTGCGCGCGCTCCCTCTTGTACAGCTTGGCAGCCTTCTTGTTTTGGTTGATCCCCAGCTTAGCCGACTTGAAGGACTCCAGGCGTTTTCGCATCGTTCTGTGGAAGATCTCCTTGTCCTGTTTCTCGCTCTCGTTTGGAGTTAGCTTGTGCCGACTGTAGAGATGCTTGTACTGGGGGGAAGCGGGCGGGCGGGCTGAGCGGGTCACAGCTGAACTCCTGCCTGGCCCTCCCGGCCACTCTGCCTGGGGAGAGGGAGGACGCTACCCCGGGGCTACCCCGGGGCTCCACGGGCTCCGCCAGTGCCTGGAGGGCGGGGGCAGACGCCTCACCCCAGCACCGGGGAAGGGATCCCGGTGGACCTCGCCTCCAGAAGCTGGGAGGGTCTGGTGAGCAACCCCTGCCCACCTCCTGCCGGGGCTTGTACAGGTACTGCTGCAGCGTGTGGTGGGTGACCATGTCCTCCGTGTCTCGGATGCTCCTCCGTCTCTGCTCCAGGGACTGCATGTCCAGGCGCACGGCGCTGACATTCTCCCTCCTGCAAGAGCCCCAGGAGGAGCTGCTCCCGTGCACTCCTGCCCAGGTCTGCACAGCTAGGCACCTGTCCTGCTCTCCTCTCCCTGGGACTCCAGTCAGACTGACTCCCACAAGGCCTTCCCAGCCTCTTTTAAAGGCAGACCCCTGGAATCCCCTGAAAAGCCCAGCTGTGGGGCCCTGGAGCAAGCCTGCCCGCTGCCTTTCCCTGGTGCTGGGACACCTGTACCAGCCGTCTTCAGTTAGAACTGGCTATAAGCTGCCTGGGGCAGCAGACACCAAATCTGACAGACCTGGTCTGTTTTCCCCTGGGCCAGGACAGGCACATGGTAGCCAGGGGAAACAGACCAGGTCGTAGCCCCCAGCTGCCCTCTGCCCCTCGCACGTGCTCTTGCCAGTTTCATAGTGAAGTAGGTTTGCATGGTGGGAAAATGCACTTTTCAGTGCTTTCCCATCCCAGTTCAGGCCCCCAAACCGCCCACTGGCCCATTTATGATTTCCCCAGGCCTGGAGGAGGAGTGACCCAGGGAAGACCCCACCCAGCTGCAGGCCAGGGCAGCAGCACACAAGGTGCACACGTACAGGAGGTAGGACACAGAGGCCTCCACGGTGGATGGGCGCGGTGTGCTGAAGTCTACGTTCACCATGTTGTCGGTGCTTGGGGAGCGGATGAAGGCCAGTGACCCGCGCCGCTCTCCCTGCAGGGACAGGCAGATGTCTGCTGAGGGAGGGAGGCCCTGGAAAGCACCTGAAACTTGGAAGGCTGGGGGCCCTGCTGCCTGTGCTTGGGCCCACAGGGCCTGGGAGGTGGAGGCAGAGCCTAGGGAAAGTCAGCCCTGCGTGAGACTGTGCACCGGTGTGCCAGTGCCTACCCACAGCCTGCAGGGGTCCAGAGGCACAGACAGCAAGGAGACTAGCTCCCGCAGGGTCCAGACAGGACACTGCCTGAGTGGCTGGAGTTGAGGATTGGTCCAACACACAGCTGTTCAGAGGAGAAAGAACCTCTTGGAGGGCATTTGGGGGGATCTGGGAAGGCACTGTCCTACTTGCAGATTATGGGGGGGCTCTCCTCACTGGGGCTTCCAACCCACAGGCCTCAGGCCCTGATGGGCTCCAATAGCAACCCAGAAGTTGCTGGAGGACAGAGGAGCTGTGCTCTGGCTGGGGCCTGGGTCAGGAGGGTGAGAAGCCTCAGAGGACACGGATCACGGTGGGCTACAGCCCAGGGAAGGCTGAGGAAGACGGGTGGCCGGAGTTGTCAGGCTGCTCCTCATCTTTAACTAGCTTCGACATGTGCACTGTACTTTTCAGTTCAGGAGCCTGGATAGGGGGTGGCTCGAGGGTGTCTGGGTCATCCTCAGCCACACTGGCCCCCTCCAGGGCATCTGGTGCATCATCACCTGCCTCTTACTTCCAAGCCCTGCATTCTCCACATGCCCTTCCCCTCCCACAGACTGGCAAGGTCAGGTCTGCAGCACCTACAGTTCCTGGCATGCCTCCCCCAAGGGGACGTCAGAGAGGAAGAGGGACCCTTGGAGCTGGGGCTGGGACTGGGAAGGGGCTGGGGTAATGAGCACCCTCAAGGGTAGGCTTGAGGCTGTGAATGTGTACTCTGCCGGACCTGGGGCCATTTCTGTTGGGAACGCTGTTGGGGAGAGAGCAGAGCCCAAGGTTGTGGGTCCTGTGTCAGGTACTGCTGGCTGGTGGGGGTAGAGGACAGGCTCGGCACCCTGTTTGGTACCCGTCACATAAAGTGAGGAGTTGAGGAGTTCTTCAAAGACAGGAAGCAGCACTCAGAGGCCGCCAGAGACCCCTGCCTGCCCTCGCATTCCCATCCTCATCCAGCTCCAGAAAACAAATTGTAGCCTTCTGTAGGATTTCGGCTATTAGAGGAGGCCCTCAGCCATCTGAGGTTGAGGCCCTGCCACTGTGGGCAGCCCTGTGGGGCCTGCCAGGACAAGGGACAGGGAGACCATGTGGGCACACCTGGGACCCAGGTGGGGAGGGCGGGGGTGGGACTGCACTCTGCCATGACCCGTGTGCCTCCCATGTCCACCCACACATCCTGAGTCCTGACTGTGTGCAGGGGTGGGCTGTGCTGTCCCCTAACCACATGCCCTGAGAGCCATGACAGGACTTGTCCCTCCTCCCACGTGCCTCTGAGCTGGCTCCTCTGTGCCACGCCCTGGACACATCCAGCCACCCATGTGTGGGCAGCGTCTGCTCCCGCCTTGACTTGGGGGTGGATTCGTTCATCTGGTGAAGCAGAGGACAAGGCAGAAGTCCTGCTGCTTCCCCCAGGTGTGCCTGCATGTGCCAGGGCCTCGGCTCCTAACCTCCTCCCTGCTCCCTCCTCCTCCATCTTGAACTCAGGAGCCCTGACCTTGTGCACAGACCCACCCGCACCAGTGTCTGTCTGAGCATCACCTGCCCAGGGCCTCGCTGCCCTCGGGAGGGAGCTCTGACATGCCTGCCCCAGGGATCCGAGGAACCCTGAGCTGCACTTGAGTTTTGGGGGCAGGCCACCCGTGCACAGAGTGCAGGCCCTCTTGCGTGCTCCTGGACCACATCCAATGAACCCTTGCTTCAGCTCCCAACTCCAGAAGGACATGGAATGTTCTAGTACCTCAGCCACATAGCTAATGGCGTCTTTCAAGTTCAGCTCATGGAAGACATTCAGAATCCGATCTCGAGACTTTTGGGCTGACCTTCTCATCAGGACCTTGCTGAGGAACTTCCTATCAAAACTGGACCACCTGGGGGACAGACAGTCACATCAGCAGTTAGGTGGGGCTGCCTGCCCCAGGCAGGTGGGAGCTGGACAAGGCTGGGTAGACGAGAGTCTCCCAGGACCCTTTCATTTACTGCAACATGCCTAGAGGTGAGTTTTAAGTGGCAGGCTGAGTTCACCTTGCCCTGCCTGCCCTCTGAGCCTTGCTGTTTGGTGGCAGTGGCCTTCAGAACACAGGTGACACCATGCTCCATGTCCTTGCCTTGTGGACAAGGCTTCCAGGTGGCACCTGGCCTCAGAGGTGGTGCAAGCAGCTCAGGTGCCCGGGGCTGTAAGCCTGGGTGTTCTGCCAGGTGAGCTGCAGCCTCTGGGAAACGTAGAGGATCGTTTCATGAAGCAGGGGCCAATGAGGGGGCTTTATGTGCTTTAGTTTTCAGATTCATAACAAGACATAAATTGATGATTCCAATTTCATGAACAAAGTGATTTTAAATATTGAGCGACACTAATGTGCCCCTCTTCTGTTCATACAGAGATGGTTTACTCTGATTTTTCAATTTCCCACAAGTAAACAATATGGCTGGTCAGCCACAGTAAAAGGCATCTAAGCTCAGCTAGAGTGGGGCTCCCCACAATTGGGCCAGTAGCCTCTGGCTCCTGTGCAAAGAAGGGTCCTCCTGACAGCTGTATCCCTCAGACCATGGTGACTCAATCCCTGTACCATTGCAGGGTCTGTGGTGGCCCTACCTGTGCCCTGTGGGTCCCACTGTCTTAGGGAGGAGTGTGCCTTTGGTTCCCGCTTTGGTCCACCTCTGGCCACTTACTTATCTCTGAGATAATTGTGTCCAATTTGTCCTGAGATGTCCTCGATGGCAGAGAGGATATGGTCAAATGCCTTTGGGACAAAAAGACCCTCCTCAGCCTCACTGGGACCACGCAGCTTCCTGGAACCCCAGGCGACCTGGGGACCTGCCCCTCCCTCCACCCCACACTGCTGCCCTGCCCGTGTCTGCCCGTGCCCACTGCCCTACCCGACCGTGCAGCTTCTCGTTGAGCTTGGGCTCCCGCTGCTCACTCCTCTTCACCTTTAGCCACTGCACCAGGGGCTTGATGGTCAGGCCCTGGAAGACCAGCCTCACTGATCCTGATGCCGGGCAGGACGCCCTGACCCCAGCCCTTGTGTGACCTCCCTGCCACGCTGGGAAGCCCAGGGACACCAGCCTCTGTGACACTGCCCTGCAGAAACGAGCCCTAGCCTATGCCACAGGGTTCATAAGGACACCCCGGCCCCCACCTGGCTCCTGGGACCACCAGACCTGTCACCAGACTGAACCCTGAAACTGACAGCCCATCCCACTGCCCGCTTGCAGCAGTGAGAGGCTGGATGGGTGGCCGGGTGCTCCCAGGTACCTACCCATGTGGGACCCTGCTCCAAACAGGAGGCAGCCCAGACTGTCTCCATGTGGTCTGGATGCCCCAGAGCCACTCCAGGCCCGGGGCTTGACATCTCATAACCAGGGTAAAGACATAGCCACCAGCAGGGTTGGTCTGACTTCACCCCAGTTAGTTAGGGAAGAAGGAAGTGGCACCCTGAGCCCTGTCAGCACCCAGCCTGCCCCAGGAGGTGCCTCACAGCCCGGGCTCCCTTCCCCTTTCCTTGGCCGGCAAGTGAGATTTCCTGCCCCTCCCAGAATCCTCTGGTCATGTACCAATGGTACCAAGAATGACACGAACCAGCGAGTCTGATGACACGCAGCTGGGTGTCCACAGGGGCTCTACTCATCAGCACAGCCAGCCTAGCACTCAGGACCAACTGTGCCAGGTCCCCTGTGGGGCCACGTGAAAACCTACAAAACGCTCCTAGTTACTAAAATTACAAGACCCAGTTAGGTCTGGAGGCTGGAAATTGGTCCTGCGGCGCTGAGGTGGGCCCAGCCTGGCCTGTGGGGACAGGGCTGCATGGCCGGCCCAGCCACACCTGGAAGATGACCGTGAAGAAGACCACGATGATGGTCGTGCTGACAAAGAGGTTCTTCTCCTTGACCTTGTTCTCATCCAGCAGCGCCACCAGGGCGTAGGCCACGGCCCCGCGCAGGCCGCCGTAGGACATGACCACCTGGTCGATGGGTTCCAACTGCACCATGCGGTACCGGTTCAGGATCCAGGTCTGCAGGACAATGCCTGTGGTGGGGAGGCAGGCTCAGCCAGTGTCCCCTTCCCGCGGACGGACCCTGGCTACCCTCCTGGTGCCGTGGCTTTTCTCCCACAGCTCTCTGCCTCCTGTCCCTCCACGACTCCAGGGGCTGGAGCGGTGGGTGCTTCCCAGGGGCCCCCTGGTCATGCTCCCGGTAGGAGGGACCCACAGGACCTCTGGCCCCACGTCCATCACTGCGGTCCTGCCCTGGGGCCCCATTGAGAGAGAGTCAGTGGTAACAGGTGGGTCCCTCTGGAGTCCACAGCCCTCCACCGTGAGCCCTCGGCCGTGCCTGCCCTGGGCCCTGAGGCAGCCTGGACCTTCATGGGTGCCAGCCGTGGCCCAGGTCTGTGGTCACTGGGCTGAGGGAAGCCTGCTGGCTGTGAAAAATGCCAGGTCCTCACCAAGGGCCCGGTACACGGAGATGAAGACCAGCGTGAGCAGCACGAAGGCTGTGTTCCAGGTCCAGATGAGGGGGTCCACCGCCGAGATGCCAAGGAACATGAAGATGATGGTCTCGGCCCCGCTGGCCAGCATCTTCATGGTGTAGCGCACGGTCGTGGCCGACTGCTCTGAGATGTTGGCCTTCACGTACTTCTGGCAGCAGATGCCACAGAAGGTGATGCTGTGGGCGGCAGCACATGAGCCTGGCCAGACGCTGCTGAGGCCCCCCCTGCTGACCCCCCACGGTCAGTCCTGCACTGGGTGGGCCTGGCAGATGGGGGGCCAGCCCTGAGCTGGGCCAGCTCTGTGGTCTGTCCTCCCTGCCCCCCGCAGGCGCTGCATCTGGCCTTGGACCATTCTGTGGAAACGCCAACTCCTTCTTTAAAAACTAAACACATCCGATTCTTTCTCCCCACCATGAATTTCCACCCAGCCTGGGGCTGAGGCAGCTGGGAGAGTGCTCTAAAGGTCACACTCGGGTGAGGAGGGAGGGTGGCCCCCCCCCAGGGCAGGGTGTGACCTTGGGGTTGCCCTCCACCCACCCCCAGGCCCCCTGGCAGAGGCCCCAGCCTGGAGTGCTGTCCCAGGCCCAGTGCAGAGCTCTCCAGCCTGCCACCAGGAGGACAGCGGGATGGCTTACGCCAGGATGGCCGACAGGGACAGCATCTCGGAGGTCAGGTAGGACAGGTAGGAGATGACGAAGACAAAGCCGGGCTCGATGATGCGCACGTGCTTAGTGAAGCGTGTCACCAGGGACAGCAGGAAGGCGAAGACGACACCCACCAGCGTGCCCCCCAGGCTCACCACGAAGAAGGACACTGTGAGGACGAGGACCAGGGCTGAGGCTGCCTGAATGGCCCTTTGTGGCCAGCTTCGTGGGCGAGGCTGCTGGGGCTGGCCTTCCTGGCCACTCCTCAGGGAGGGTTGCCTGGTAATTCCGCCTACGGGGGCACCAAGAGCTCAGGAAGCAAGAGCAGGTCCCTGATGTCTCTTGGAGAGAGTCAGGTTTCAGCACCAGCCTCAGGAGGAAAGGGACAGAGGACGGTGCCATGGCCACAATGCCCCACTGTGGGGGCATCACCCTGAGGACCAGGCCCTGTCCTTGGAGGCCACATCCTTTCCTTCCTAGGGAGGCCCAAAGTGGCCATTCTTCCTGCCCAGCAAGCCACCAGGACCTCTGTCAAGTCGTGCTTCTGGGGTGTCTGGGAGGGCTGTGTGCACAGGCTGGGCCCCGTGACAGCGCAGACACCTTTCCCTCAGGGCTACAGGGTTCCAGAGCTGCAGGGGCCAGAGGCAGCTGAGATCTGTAGGCCTGTGGCCTGCACTCCTGCCGGGGCCTGGGGGGGCACTGGGGCCCCCTGCCACGTACCTATGCCTTTTACGCAGTCCACACCGGTCACCTTGTCACCACCCAAGGTCACAAAAGACTCGAAGACATTGTACAGGACCTGAAAGGGCAGAACACAGCCACACATCTGGTCAGCCTGTGGTCAGCACTGACCGCTCCCATCTCAGTGCCTGGGACTCACTGGTGTTGGGCCGGGTGTGGACTCCACAGCAACTAAAGGCCAGCACAGGGAATGGCAGTGACAAGAAGGGGCCCACGATGCACTAGTAGGAGGGATGTGTGGGCAAGAGAATGTTCTGGAAGGAGCCACAGCTTCAGGAGCAAAGTTGGCCTCTTCCTATCCTTGGCCAGATGGGGCAGCCGAAGCTGACCTCAGGACTTAACCCTCCCACTTCCTCTGCCCAGACAACCAAGTGCCCTGTCCGGTGGCTTTGTGCTGTGTGACTGGGCTGCGGGGTTGCGCCCTGTGACCTCGGCATGTCCACATGTGCCTCTGACCCATCCTGTGCTGGTGCTGGGTAATGGCCATGTCCAAGTCCCTGTTCCCTCAAGGCCCACAGCCCCAACTGAGGGGCACAGGTGCTGTCTCTGCCCTGACCTGCTCTGAGGTATGTGCTGGGGACCCCAAGGGCAGGCGTGTGGTCTGAGGGTCAATTCCTCAGTGGCCACTGAGTCCCCAGCACGGCCTCACAGGGCTGTGCCCTTCGTGGAAGTGCAGGTGACAGCTGGCGGGCTGTGTGGGCAGTGAGGGCCCTGGGCTCCCAGGGAGGCTCCCTGCAGAGACACGGGAGCCACAGGCGGCCCAGGGGCACAGGAGCTGTGCGCTGAACTCCTGACTGGCCTCAAAGGCCCTCAGCTGCCCTGGGAGAGGCCTCTGGGCACAAGGTGAGGATGTCCCAGGGTCCCGGCCCCTTCTGGAGGCCAGTGACAGGTCACGTCTTCAAACTTCTATGTCCTGTCTCTGCAAGGTCCAGGGAGGAGGCTGCATCCACGTCCCAACTTGCCCTGACCCCTCCCAAAGAGTGGCCCGTCTGGAGGTGGAGCCCGCCCTCCCCAGGCGGCTGTGACGCTCCCCACGCACAGGCCTGCTGCTCAGCGTGCAGGGCCCACAGTGCCCGCCACTGCCCGCAGCCCAGGGCCCCCGAACACGCCTCCACGGGGCAGCGCAGCCAGTGCAGACTGAGTCTGCTTCGTGACTCCTACGAGGGGCTGGGTGTGTCCCCAGGAGCGCCCACGGTCCTGGCCTGGACCTCAGACCATGCCTGGGTTTGGAGACGGGGCCTCTGAAGAGGGCTCGGGTGAAATGGAGTCCTTAGGACAGGCCTGCTTTGCTGACTGGGGTCCTCATGAGAAGAGGCCGTCGACACACCAGTGGGCAGCCTCAGGAGGAGCCAGTCTGCCCCAACCTCTGCCTCCAGCCTCCAGCCTCCAGGAGGCTCCCGGACTAGCCAGCTGTGGCCCGGCAGAGTGGTACCAGTCTTATGAGAGTCTGCTCATTTGTCCCCCTGGATTTTAGGAAGCTAGGAATGGGTGGCGCCATGGGTAGCCCACAGCTGAAGAAGAAGGCTGTTCTGGGACCTGGCGGCTGGGGGCTGGCAGCCCTGGCAGCCCTGACCTTGAAGGCACAACATGGGCGGGTCCACAACTGGGGAAGGAAGGGTGAGAAATGGGACAGAGGGAGTCGGGAAGGGGCAGAGAAGGGGCACTACGTGAGAGGCAGGGCCTGCCAGGCTCAGCAGCTGCCCCCATGGACACCAAGCATCCCATACAGGCGTGGGCTCCCAGGCTGCTGTCTTGCTGGACGGCTGGCTGCGGGCAGCAGAGCTCCTCGTTGGCCCAAGGACAGTGGCAATGCCCCCTGGGTGGGTCTCCCTGTGCCTCTCAGGACCGGGCCCTGTGACGGGCCCTGAGGACCCTGCCAGGCCTCACCACAGTGACGGCGTCATTCAGCAGTGACTCCCCGAACACGATGATGAACAGGACCTCGTTGACGTGCACTTCCTCAAACACGGCCAGGACGGCCACCGGGTCCACAGCTGCGATCAGGCTGCCAAACAGCAGGAAGTCCAGGAGCCCGATCTGCAGCTCGCCTGCAAGACAAGTGGGCCACGGGGAAGGGTCCAGAGCCTGCAGGTCAAAGGAGGCCTGAGGGCAGAGCCCACGCGCCATGCCCTGGGTGTACAAGGCCAGCGGAGTCCCACAGGGGCTTCCTTCTTCTTGCCGGGCTGAGGGCAGACCCTGCCACGGGTCCACGGGGCCAGGCACAGCTTGCAGGTCATTGCCAGGGCAGCACAGGGGGGTCCATGGCAGGGAACTGAGTGGGGATGGGACATGGCCATGACTGGACGTCTAGGCTCCTGTGAGCCCGGCAGCCTCCAGCCAGGTCACGCTCCCTGCAGTCCATCTGGAAGGTCAGCACAGACTTCGCTGCCATCGGTGGCCCTGCCTGGCCTGGCAGACCAGGCCCCCTTCCAGGCCCGTCAGATGCCTCTGGCACCACCAGCCTCTGGCCCCAGGACCCTGTCAGACCTTGCAGTGGTACACTCTGGAAACTGGCCGGCTCCCAGCAGGAAGTGCAGCCAGCTGAACAGGCCACCCAAGCTGGCCGGGAAGGGACACCTGCCAGGAGTGTCTGGAACTGAGGGGTCACTCCACCAGGCTGCCTGCTCAAGGCCCTCTCTCCACCTTAGGTAAGAAGAATGGCCACTGGGCCCACCTGCAGGGCCTCTGCAGCCAGTCTAGCTGACCCTTCTGTAATGGGTGCACCTGGCCTTGGTCACTGGTCTACAGAGACTGGTCACTGGCTGCCTAGCTCTATCACACCTGGATTCCCTGCTGGGACCCAGGGACTAAGTGCAGACTGTCAGCATCTGTGTCTACTGTGAAGAAGGGACATGGTGACAGCACAGTCCTACATGGTCACAGCAAGAAGATAGACCCGGACGTCCCTGGCAGCAGGAATGTTCTGAGTTTGACGGCCACATGGCTCAGGGGCCAGCGCATGTGCACGGTTCAGCCAGTTGGCTGCGAGGCCTGTGCCGGTCGTAAGAACCTTGCTTCCGAGAAGAAAGCCAGGTGCTGTGCCTGACCCAGGTGGGCAAGGGAAGCCTGACAGCTGTGTGAGGCCAGGGGTCAGGGAGCCACAGAGGGTGCCCGCTGCAGAGGAGCCGTTGTGACCCACCGGGTCTGTTGGAGGCTTCTTCCTGCAGAAACCACCCTGGGGCGTCCCATGCCCTGACCTCGTGGGTCACAGGGCTCTCAGGGAGGGTGAGTGTGACCCTCCTGGTGCCGTGGGCAATAGGTCCAAGGGTCCCCTCCAGACCCTGAGTCATCCCTGCATCCAGTGGTCGGAGTCGGCTGGTCATCTGAGGTATGTCCCGCCCACCTGTGGTGACACCTTCCTGGAGCAGGTGTCTACTCGCCTGAGGGCCTGCAGGGCTCACCCTGGTGCTCTCTGGGTGACACGGGTTGGCAGGCTCAAGGCAGCGCTCTGTGGTGGTGGCCCAGTGCTGAGGGAGCAGGCACATGGGAGGGACTGCTGTCCTTGTCACCACACTTCTCTCGGTCACTAGGGTTTTAAGGCCTCAATTCATGTGGTGAGTGCTGGCCAGTCCTCTCCCTTGAGCCAGAGGGAAGGTCACCAACCCTGGACCCGTCCCTGGGAATGCTGGCCCACTGGGCCTCTGGGTGACCAAGGCTGAGTGAAGGACCGCTCCGTGCAGGAGCAGGCGGAATGTGGATCAGAGACAGGGCACACAGGCGGAGGCCACTGAGATGTGCTGAGCTCGGCCTGTGGTCCAGTCGGTGAGACCTGGATGCTGCCTGCTCTTCTCCCTGGGACCTTCCTCCCAGCCCAGAAGGACAGCCATTGCCAGATCCTACCCACACGCCACCCTGGTCAGAAAGGGTCCTCTCCCGAGTAGGGCACGGGCCTCGGCCAGGGGTTGCCGTGGGACTCTGCACTCAGGTCTTCAAGCAGCTCACCAGCGGCATCCCTCCATGCCCCCACTCCACCCCTGGGCTGTGTTCCGCACCCTGACCTCCCGCCCTGTGGGCAGCACAGGACTCACCCATCAGGCCACTGAGGAAGACCCCATAGAGCGACAGGCCGGTGGTGGCTGCGTTCCACACAGTGCCGATGACGGCGTACAGCAGGATGGTGCCCAGGTTGCCAAAGAAGAGCCGGTTGGGCATGAAGTAGCCAGCGTCCAGCACGATGGGGGGCAGCAGGTAGAAGAAGAAGACCGTGGGCGTGAGCGTGAAGGAGGCAATGTGGTCGGCTGCCCAGACGATGCCGCCCAGCACCAGGCCCAGCACGATGAGCAGAGCACTCTCAGGGACGACACTGGTGACCTTGTGCGACAGGTGGAACACTGCGAGGAGCACACAGGGTCAGGGGGACAATGTGCAGACTCGTGGGACAGGGCCACTGCGAGAGGACAAAGGGTGGGGCTGGGTGGGCAGGAGGGGAGGGTGTTGGGGTGGGCCCCCCAGCAAGGGTCCTCCCAGTCCTCATCCCAGGTCCCAGGGCCATCTACAGAGCCCTCCTGCCCTCTGGCTGTCCACACTTGGTGGTGGGTGGGAGTCATGTGCAAGTAGACAGGTCCCTTCTGGAGCTGGCTGTACCCACCAGAGACTGGCACCAGACAGAGTCAGGACAGGGCTGCTTGGGCCTCAGCCACACAGCCAGTGCCCTCTCCAGGGGTTTGCATTCAGGTGGGGAAGGGGGTGGGTGGGCAAACTGGCAGAGACCCCGTGACCGTCTGGGCAGGAGGAGGCCACGCGGTGACTGAGAGGCCAGGGGCTGCTTGGTCCATCCCACAACCCCTGACCTGCCCATCCCCCAGTGGGACTGATTTCTGTCCTCTGGGCAGCCACATCCACTCTGCTCCTGAGACCGCCTGACCAGACTGCTCCTGAGGTCCAGAGCCTGCTCCGTGTTAGTCACCTTGTGGACTCTGGGCTGTCCTCCCTGGCTCTGCCTGACCCCTCCCCTGAGTCACCACCTCCAGGAGCAGTGTCCCCAGGGACAGGCACTAGAGCTCACAGGAGCCACAGTGGTCCCCACCCTGGCCCCTCGGCTGGCCAACCCTGCTTGGACCCTGGAGGGCTCTTGGCCCGGCCTGTGTCGGCACAGGCCATGTGGCCAGGCTCCTCAGTCCATTTGGGCTCAGGACAGAAGCGACACTTCAGCGGCTGGAAGGCCAACGGTGGGGGTGGCCCTGCTGGCATGAGCTGTGAGTAGCACGGCAGACTCCTTCCCTGTACAGAGGGTCTCTTGTCTGAAATGACTTCTTGGATATTCAGAGGAAGGTTGCCACCAAGCCCCGCAGACCCCAGCTGGCACTGACAGTGTGCAGGGGCAGAGGGACCCTCAGCGCCCTGTCTCAGGGGAAGCTGCTGCAAAGCCGGAGTGTGTGGCAGTTTTCAGGCTGGAGAGGACCCACCCTGCCTAGCGGGTGGCCTTGGCTGGCTCCCTGGACTATTCTCCATGTGTAATCATGGGCCCACTCCTGGGGGAGTGGTGCCCTTCCTGCCGCCCTGCCCTGGGACCTCCTAGCCTTCACCAGGAGCTGGGCTCTGCTGGCCACCCCCTGAGCCTCAGGCCTGTGGTCCCCACTCTGGACTCCAAAGCACCAGCTCCAGGGGGTGGGGACGCTCAGCAGAGGGAGTGCTGGTTGGAGCCTTCAGGACCTGTGTGGACCCAGCCCCCACGGGCCCTGCAGGCAGCGCCCCCACCTGGCCACGTCTTGCATTCAGCCAAGGTTCTGCTTTCCCCGCTGAGGGCCTTCAAGGGGTCAGCTGGGGTCAGCTGGGAGGGCTGCCCTGTGGAGCGCCAGTGATGCTGGAGGCCTCACCACCTCCCAGCTGACTGCCAACCAGCTGGACACACGTGAGGAGCACACCACAGAAGGTGAACGCCCGGGACAGGGGAGGC